TCCCTACAACAAGTATTATTCATTTTTCTTCCAGGAAGATTATATCTTTTAAGAAAAAAGGAAGTCAATTTGAGCTGATATGATAATTCAGAATAGGGAGCCACTATGATTACTGAGATATAGATTTATATTTATTTTATTACTATTATTATTATTATTTTACTTTTCACTGACACCTGGCGAACTTGTTCTCTGATGACCCAAGGGAGTTACTTTAGTCAGGGTGTCCCTGACCTCCTGCTGGTAGATTAATTACATATGAAACATTGTGTTTTCAAAACGAAATGATAAATCTGGACACATAAAGGTGGCAGAAAAGAATCAGAGAGAAGAGGAGATGTTAGGAAACAAAATAAGGGCTTGCAAAAGGGAGATATCAGATAGAAAGAAAGGATAATGTAGGAAAGGCAATTGGGAAAGAATTTCAAGAAAATAAGGATAAAGGTCAGGGAGGGCTGAAAGGAAGGCAAGAGGGAGAAAAGGAGGGAAGGAAGGATTTGGGGTTTTCAATCCCCTGGCGAGGCTGCTGGCGTCCGCGCCCTTAACGCCACAGCCTTCCAAGTTGAGGCGAAAGCCACCTCCTCAGGCCTGCGTCGCATCCAACTTACTCCAAGTTTTCTGGTGACTCCTACAGGGCCCCTTTCCGTCCCCCCCATCCCACCCCTTAGTGAGATTGACAGTCGCGTGGAGGAGGCTTTTCCAGGCACAGCCTTTCTCATGGTAATCAGCCCCCAGCATCACCTCGCGGCCGCGGCCGCTCCCGCTCCGTGCGCAGCTCGCGGACCCCGGGGACCGGAAACAAGGCGGCGGGCGGGGAGCCGGCAAGCGAGCCAGGTCAGCTGACCCGGCCGCGGGGCGGGGGTCGCGGCGTTCCCGGGCGGGTATAGGTCTGGAGGGGGGGGGGTGGTGCGCGGGGGCCGAACCCCTCCCCCCCACCAACGTGTTCCTCCGCCTGTGCTGCGGCGGCCTTACCCAGAGATCAAATGAAGGGACCGAAGCTGGGGGCGTGGGGGACAGAGCGCGCCGAGAACTGGGGGCGACAAGCAGACCTGTTTTGCATCAATAAATTAAGACGCTCATTTGAGTCCTGAAGTTTGCTGGTTCCTGTCAGTGGAGACGTTGCCAAAAAGCACTGAAACCGAGATTCAGCCTTAACTTCAAAAAATAAAATAAAAATAAAATAAAATGAACCTCTCAGCTGGCTGCCCTGCTGGGGCCAGGTGACGTGCGAGATTCCACAGCCCGCGGGCCTCGCAGTAGGGATATTAGAGACGGTCTGAGATTCTCTGGTCCTGTTTTGATTTTGTTTGAAAGGGCTTCTCAGAGAGATGCTTCTGATTTTTTTTTTAATAGACTTTCCCCTCCTATCCTAGGCTCAACTCCGAATGGATTGGACTGCGAGTTTGCACGTGAGAAAACCGTTTGGCTTGGCTTGGACCCCTGCCGCCCCCCCACCCCGTCCACACCCCCCCCCAATGCAGGGGTCCCCCTTATCATCCTTTGCTTGCAACTCTAAAAGAAGTTTCCCACCTTCTGTGTAACAACACAGGGTCGAAATAATTCCTCTAGATGAAAGGTCAATTCCGTTTCAAAAAGAGAATAGGTTCCTTTTTTAAATTTTCTCCACATGGTACAGAATAAACAGAATTTGCTTAAAAAAAATTAGCTGTGGCCAAATTCGAATTCCTTCTACAGGCTGTGTTCAGGGCAGAAACATTGTATCTCTTCTGGCATCTGGGCCAGCAAGCGGAGCTGGGGGCAGGGGAGAAAGGGGGAGCGGCTGTGAAAGTTAAGGAAATTGACAGACTGAGAGGTGAATGGGGGGACAGGCACCAGGTCTTGGCTGGAGGGAACTGGAAAACAAAAGTGCATCTTCACACGCTGCCTGGGTGGAGGGAATCCTGAGGGAGGCAGTTTGTTTTACTCGAAGAAACCCTAAAGAATTATTTTTCTCCCTTCAATGTCGATTGCAATATTATTTCACATTTGTATGTATCTGTTGTTTTAATCCCCTTGGTCTGCGCTAATCTCGAAATGGATTACTAATGGGGAAGAAGGACCGGGAAGGAGCGATTCATTTGCAAGGACTTGCTTTGCTGTGTGAGGAGCCGAAAGCTAGCGGCTCCTAGTCCTCTCTCGACTTTTCCCTGCGTCCTGCGCTCGTGCATCCCGCTGACCCCATTGTCCCCGACCTGGCCTTCGGACTAAGAGAGTGTTCGGTACAAATTTATATTCCGGCTTCCTCCGATCCCACCGCCTCTGCTTTGGTGTGAACTCTTTCGGTCAAATGGGGAGGGGAGTGCCAGGGGCGTGCCAGGCAGGGGCGGAGGGCAACCCACCGGCGCGCTCACCCCTCGCGGGGACGCTTCGCGTGCCACCCACCAAATATTCACCTTGATGGGAACCTGAAAGATTGCTTTTTACCCCAATTCAAATACTTGCACGTCGGCACTCCCAGGGCTAAGTGTTGAGGCTGTCTCCTGACACTTGAACAATTACTGAGCCCAGAGTAATCAGATGATTAGGTGTTTTTCATGGAAATACTTGTCTTTTTTTTTTTTTTTAAGTCAGATCCTAAGTAACCAGACAATAATATACATAATAAAGAGAAGTGATTTGTCAGCCGTTTGATTGGATCCTTTGACCTGAGGTTTTGCCAGTGAGTGTGTGTCTGGACTGTAAGCTCCAGTGGTTACCTGGGGTCCTGAGGTGGGGTCTTGCCTGGAATTACTCCATGCAAGGGACACCTTTGTCCTGGAAATGGGAGAGGAAATGCTGAAAAGCAAACTTCTAGAGAAAGCTGGACTCGAATTTTTTTTAAATAAAAAAGTGGGGAAAAGAGGGAAGAGGGAAAAAAAAGGATATTAATAATAGAAGTAAATCTCAGAGAAGGAACTTGATAAGTCATATATTTATAGAGATAGAAATATTAAAGCAATGTAAAGCATAAAACTGAGAATGTGCCTGACCCATGGTGGAAATGTTTAATTTTCTTTTTTTATTATTAAATTTTAGACTGATGGTCTTGAATGCTTCTCTATAGGTAATTTATCTGAATGGGGTGGGGGAGGAGATTCTCACTGTAATAAATACTTAAGGTAGGAAAGAGGTGAGTCTGTACCAAGAGTGAAAATTTACTTCCTTGCATCCTAAAGGAAGAATTGGTTGTGGTCATGCTGGGTGGCTACTGCTCCCCCCCCCCCAATAAACATACAAAACACAAAGCCGTGCACCTCTGGGAGTGTGGATGCGGTAACCCATGGGTGGCTTTTCCCTCCTCTGAGTGCAATTGCCAATGACTCTTGCATTCAAAGTCTTGCTTTAGGCACACATTCAAAGCACAGTTCAAAGCAGTTTATCTTCATATAAGTAAAAGTCTAGTGTTGGATCAGGGTTTTATTTGTTTCAGATTTCATCAGACTGAAAACAGGGGGCTGTAACATATTAACAATATTAAAGCAGAAAAAAATGGCATAAGGCTGTTCTTTAGTCCTCTTGACACCTCCACCTTTACCTTTGCAAGGAAGCCCACAGGCTGTGGGACTAAAAGTTTATTTGTGCTCTGAGGTTCTTAAGTACTTTCACTCTTAAAGAAAAAAAAAAAGAAAGAAAGAAAAAGCCTCACAAGTTCTCTAAGAAATTGAGCCTGAACCATTGGAGGCTAAGAGATTTCTTCCTTTTCCGATAAATGTCTGTGCTCAGCATCCTCAAATTTGGCTGTCTTTATTTACTTCTATATTAGTTCCAATTATGTGCAGTGTAAACCAGCTTTTTGATTAACAAAACAGCAGAGCATTGGTTAAGAACACTTAAACTTCAAAAAAAATTCCCCTGGGAAGTGGGCTCTGAATTGGTTAATAATGTGCAGTACTTGCTAAATTGCTGACTTCCAGATGTGGAAAATATCTTTCTTGTTTAGGACCTATGTAACCTGATTGGATTACGACAGAAGCGTCACGTTGGAAGCTTTTGAGTGATTATTTAATTAACCATACAGTAGAAAGCTGTATTCTCCAGGAAATCCCTTCCATATTTACATAACCAATCCCTTCAGAGCAAAGGTGGAGTCTTTTCTTTTTAATTTTACTTTAATTGCAATATCAAAAAATATATACTCCAAAACTTAGACCCCATGCCGTTTAATATGGTGATCTTCCTTCGCTGCTAAGTTCCTCTATGGCCTTTCTCCTTTTCCTCCTGTTTCCCTACACCCACTCCCTCACTTTGTAGTGAGGTCTCCGTGAGATGTGCAGAGATTCAGAGATCGGTCAACTCAGCAACTCAGCGCTCTATGTTAATTTACTTAAGAGACCCTTTCAAAAAATGCCAAACCACTTTTTAGTATTGGGATCCAATCCAGAAATTCATCACACACACACACCGCAACACACACGCCCTAAAATGCAGTTCACATGAAGCTTTTTTTTTTTTTTCTGGCTCTGGCATCTTAAAAGAAAAAAAAAAAATTAAGAGAAAGGGCAAAAAATTTAGTTCCAGAAGCCGTGCTGAGAAATCCACACAATTTAATGTGCATCTCAAATCTGGTCATTAGAGACATCTGTATAAGAAGAGGCGATCTGGATTGAGGAACCGGGATCTTTCCCTTTAACTTTCGCCCCTTAGAGTTCTCCAGTTCTGTGAATGGTGTGCACCGTTTTCCGCCCTGTACTCTGTAGGATTTAGTGATGAGGATAATGATGCCAAAGGCTTGACGGGGGGGGGGGGGGGGGGGGGGGGGGGGGGGGGGGGGGGGGGGGGGGGGGGGGGGGGGGGGGGGGGGGGGGGGAATTTTTTTTTTTCC